TCGGAAATCACTCTCTGTCCAAAGTATGGAGCTTTTTTAGCTCTAAAGGTGCGAAGCGATAAAACTTATCCCAATAGGAATGTGAAGGAGAGAATAATATTTTTTATCATATAATAACATAACTAAGATCTAGGAGAGAAAAAAAGTCTTACAGATTTTTAGATATACTTTTTCGTGTCATATTTGAAAGTCTGAAATGAATGGAAAAAAGCATGGTAAAACTACCAGAAGAGGGCCCTTCATGGCAGTTGGTAGTCGGCAACCAGTCTTCTTTCTTTAAATAAAAGGCTAAGGGCAGAGACCTTTTTTATTTGATAATAGCAAGTCTAGTCCAGGTTTAGGAGCACATCCCCGGTAGCAAAGGAAGAAGGAAAAAGTGTGGCAGCTTTAGCTGCTTGTAGAACATTGTCTGAAGAGCTCACTGAAATAAGGTTTCCAGCTCCTAGGATCGATCCTTGCATTCAAATAAGGGAGCTCTCAAGCTCGATATTTTATTTATGATACCAGCACACAAAGATCTTCCCTATGAACAGGAGGCAAGATTTCTGCAGCTCCGAACTTTGACCACGAAACAGAGAACAAGGATGAAAAGAAGCTTTCTTCACTTTGACGGTCGACGGTCCTAGTGTGAGTGGATGCGTAGTTTGAAAGTATTTCCACCTGAACCAGGGTCGTGCTGAACCTTTTTCTGGGGAGGTCCACATGGACTTAGAATAAGGAAGTAAAGCATCGAATTCCATGTGTTCAACATGGATTTCAAGATGAGGAATAGCACAGCACAAAAAAAAAAGGAAGCGTCCGGCATTAGAGATGGCTTCAAACTCGACCTGAAAGGTGCCAGTTACATCTATTGGACCAGACGGAAATACAAGTTATCTTGTAGCATGCATGGGTTCGACGTATTCTTTTGCTTGAATTCGACTAGATCCCTTCCCGCCTAGTAGTTCTCACAGGTAGGCTACCGGGGAAACTCGGTGGAGCCGCTGGCGGTTCTTTGTCTCTTTGGCCCTTACGCCCTAGTCGACCTTTTCTCTTTATCAATTCCACTTTCTGTAAACCCCTGACTCTGTGTCTCGCGCTTTTCAGCCTGAATTCCATTCCCGTAATTCTTATATTAAACTACATACATCAATTAAGAAAATAGTATAGTAATCGAAGATAAGATAGAGTCTTACTTACTAGTGGCCCTTTCGGGGACTCTTGGGTGAGACTGGAAAGCCAGACTGATTATACCCTTCCCTTCGTGCCCCTTACCCGAGGTCACCTGCTGTCCATTCAATCCGATCGGGGAATAAGCCAAAGGACAGCCAAGACCATCCTTTCGAGGGTTAGGTTCAAGGGTTGATTCGAAGACGCATCTCCCTAACAAATAAAGAAAGCTTTTGGCCTCTTTGCCTTTGTATGAGCCTTTTCGCTAATATGCTCGGAAAGTCATGGTTCCTTGCTTGTGGAGTTCCTTCTTGGATTGAGGGAGTACGGGACCAAGCCCGATGTTCTCTCCCATTAAGTGAAGCAATTTCGAAATGAATTCAAGGCTTGCTTTTAGAGCAATGAAGCTGAAAGATGAATTGAGAAGATCCAGAGCGAACTAATGAGTTTGAGTTCATGAGGTTTAGAAGCTAAATTGCACGAGTATTAAAGTAGCTAGGATTTGATACGAGTGAGACGAAGACTCGTGTTAATTATTTTAGATATGCAATTTTTAGTGTCAAAATAACTAGCTTCTGCAATTGACTCTTCATTTTCTTTTTCAATTTTTTCTGGATTGTTGTTATTTAAAAAATTGAGTTTTTAGAGTTGCGATTTTTTTCAATTTTTTCTGGGTTGTTATTGAAAAAATTGAGTTTTTAGAATTGAGTTTATTTTTTAATTTTTTCTGGGTTATTGTTGCTACAAATTGTTTCTGAAGTTTAGAGTTTTTGTAGGTTGTTTTTTATGGGTTGTTGAAGCTTAGAGTAACTATGGTTATGGCTTAAAGTTTATATACTTTTTAAAAAAATTTGGGGGGAAAATGAAAAACGTAAATAGATTTGGTAGAGTTTGGAGTTTGGAATGATTGCTGTTGATAAGTATTGAATTTTTTTGAGTTGGAATAATTGAAATTTCTAGATCTAGATAAAGGTATGTATTGAAGGGGATGAAAATAAATAAGAAATAATGAAGATTAGAATAAAAACTAATTATTTATTGTTTCAAAACTAATCATTTAAAAATATTTTATATTTAATTTATATTAAAAAATAAAAAATAAATATTTTTAAATGACGTAGTTGTTTTTTCTTAAGTTGGTCAATATTTTTTATATCTGAATATGCCACATAACCAATTTTAAATAAAGGACCAAAAAAAATTTTAAAAAATAAAAAAGAGGACCAAAACTGTGTATAAGTTTTAAAATAATCAAATGTATCTGTGACACCCCATAAAAAAATTTGATTGATTATAATGAAAGGTCAAAATTTAAAATTCTCTCTATAGAAATAGGAACATGAATGTGTTTTATAAACTTTTTATAGTTGCATCCTAAACAGCTTGGGCGAAATGAGCAATAACCATTTATTTTAAGTTTTTTTTTTTTAATTTAGTTTGATTTATTTTTGAATTAAGAATATTATTCTATTTCTACTTAATTTATGTAGTTTGAATTGTTTGAATTTTGTTTTAGGTATGATATTTTGTTCATTTTGGATACTAGGTTTAATTTTGATTGGAATTATTTTATTTTATTTTATTATAATTTTTAGTTTGTTTGAACTTGTAATAAATTTTTGAAATATTTACGAGTTATATATATATATATATATATATATATATATATATATATATATATATATATATATATATATATATATATATATATATATATATATATATATATATATATATATATATATATATATATATATTGTGTATCATATGAGAATGACATTTTTATTTGAGAATATGAGAATAAATTTGAATCATTAGATTTTAAAATAAATGGTGGAGATTAATTTGAATCATTAGATTTCTGTCGTGGTGAGAATTGGATATCAAATTATTGATTAACTTGAATCTTAATTTATTATTCACCACCGGTCTTTAATTTGTCCAAAGGAAGGGAAAAAGATTGAATTACCCGCGAGATGCAATGCAAATGCAAAGCTAGAAAGTCTAAGGTTCGGGGGTTGGTTAAACTTAAGGAATGTGCTAGCATCCTAAGAATCTATAGTACTCTACAAGAGCCTCTTGTTTTATGTGTTATTGTTGCTAAGGGTGAAAGACCTAATGGTTTATTTCTAAGTATACTCGCCAAGAAATCGCATCTTGTGCCTACTTATCTTGACGGGAGTGGAATCAGAGTATTCGTAGTTCCCCTAAAAGGAATTGAGGAACCATTAACTGTTGGTCAAAGTTTCAGGGGGATAAGTTTTTTTTATTGATTCTAGGAGAAAAGACGAGTCGTCATCTTAAGGGAGAACACTCGACTTAACCACCACAACTTGTAGGAGATGGTCTTTGCGTTACATCGAGAGAAAGGCTCAAAACTCAGATTTCATCGACGAGTATGCCACATACCTCTCTCAAGCGGAAAAGATTCTACATCTCTCGATAATATTATGGGGCAGGAGAATTATATCTCAACTGTCAAGATGACTCACGTCTAATTCTCTTGTGGGGAGAATAGATGATTGAATTGTATTGATATTGGTTTGTCTAAGTTGAAAGATAAAAGAGAAACCAGTTCTATCTTAAAGTGTAGGATCTAAAGTCTAAGCTGATCGACTTGAAAACTCAAGGATCAAGCGGGGAATATGATACAAATGAGGTGCAATACACACGACTTATGGAGTCATGCGCAAGTTCTTCCTTTGGACGTGCATAAAACAACAAAAAAGAACGATGTATACATCATGATAGAATAATTGAAATTAACAAACGGAACCCGAACTTACAACCCTCAATTAAAAGTGATACAAGTGAAAATACCAATCCGATACAATATTAAGTTATCACAAACACAAAATGAGTTAAGATCGAATCTCGAAAAGAAGTTAATAATTAATTTAAAGTATACTAACGAGATTGCAGATAGTTAAGGAGGGATTTATAGGACGAGTCTAGGTTTGAAGTCCCACGAGTTACTAAGTAATTGGATTTAAGAGATTATCCTTAATTTGAATTTCTAAAAACAAGATATGTATTCTAATGATTGATAATTAGATAAAATTTAAAATTCTAGCCAATTGAATTCTCTCTAAAAGATTAATTAGATTAAAGAGATTAAAACAAGGTTTACCAATAGTTTTTTTTAAGACTTAGATTAAGTTCTAAAAAGGCTAAGTTTTTAAAAAAAGATTAGAACAAACTTTTTAATATAAAAAGTTAATTTAGTTAATCATCTTTTTATATTAAAACTCAATTAATCTTTTATATATATATATATATATATATATATATATATATATATATATATATATATATATATATATATATATATATATATATATATATATATATATATATATATATATATATATATATCCATTATTTGTGTAATTAATAAATTCAACCTTCACTTTAATCGGTTAAACTAATTAAACTAATTGGATCTTCGGTTATGTTTTTAAGACACTGAATGGGAGACCACGCCTCTGATCAAAGATAATCTGGCTTTGCATATGCACTTGCTCACTAGTTTTACAGTTTAAGTATCTACATGTAAAGGAATACAAGTTCCTTTATTAACTGTGACAATGCTTGTTCTTGACCAATACTCTGTCACCATGAAAATCATTTTCCATAGACAGTAGTTGCAATTTTACATACAACAAAGATATAAGAGTGAAATTTCAGATTTTGATGGAAAAATTACAGTAGACCACTTCCACTTCCAACTGATATTTTGTAGTTTCAGAAGGTTCTCGCACCAATATCGCTCGTATATAACAGAGCAGAGAGCTTCTACCATCCCAGACACCCAATTGCAATATTTTCTCTGCAGAATTTGAAAGCTCCAATTAGGTCTCGGTCCTCTCCACAGTCGCTCTAACCACTAGATTTCGACTACGAAATTCCTGCAAGAACAAGACAATGCATCAGATACAAACATGTGAAATGCAGCAAAACAATGAAAAATGGCGAAAGCATATCTTACAGTTCCATTGAGGGACATCGAGGCATCACATTCTGTCTGAGAAAGATAAGATACAAAGGCGTAGAGACGAATTTTCCCCTGTTTCAAATCTTGCAACACCCTCACACTAGCGACATTTCCAAATTTACCAAAGAGATTTCTCAAATCTTCAGGTGTAGTAGACCTAGCAAGATTCCCAACATACACCTTATAAGGACCTTCATAGTATAAAGTTTTCACGGGAGGTAAAGTCTCTAAACTCTTCTTCTTAGTATTCATCTGAACTGAAAATTTAACCCGCACTTCGCGTCCACCAACATCCTTCAATTCGAATAAAAAACAAAGTTTCATCTCAAATACCAATTTTAAAACACACATTGATCAAGTTTCACAGTCACTAACCAATCCATCCAATGCATCAATTGCATTTTTAGCAGCATTATAAGATCCCATCGTTACATAAGCACTCCCTTTACTCTCACCTGACTCAGCATTCCTACAAATCTGCAATTAAGCATAACCACAGCACAAACCCTTGATACATTGATGCATAGAAAATTGAATTGTTTTGTATTGATTCAATGAAAGATTTCATATTACAATGGATATACATACATTTATACAGTGATCGCGACCGACTAACAAATCTTAACTAACTTGTAACAAAAGTAACTAACTAATAACTACGGATAACCAACTATAACAACTAACTCTACCAAGAACTAACCTCTGCAGATAGAACGGTTCCGTGAGGAGTGAAGATGTGAGTTAGTTGCTGAGTGTCACAGCTTCTAGGAAGGTTGCAAACGTAAATCTGAGTAGGATTTCCGAGCTTCCGTGGTTTTTCTTTGTCGTTTTCTTCTCCATCGACGATTGTGGTTTGGCCATTGACGACAACCGCTAAGACAAAGGGAGTGGAAACCCTGGGCTTGGAACTATAACCAGCAACAAGATAAGGCAGCGTAGAGAATGAAACGAATCGTTTTGAGATACGAAGTAGCAGGTTATTATGGTTGAGTGACGAGGAAGAAGAAGAGGCTGTGGCGAAGGAAAGAGAGAGAGTGGAAGCGTTGGTAGCCATTGTTTATCCAAATTTGACCAATCTCCTTACGCTGTTTGGTTAGATGGTTTTGTGATTTGTTTTAAAAAATTTGGCTTAAATACACTTTTACTCTTCTTATTTACACATTTTTAATGTTTTAGTTCTTTTTTAATTTTTTCAGCTTTTTAGTTTTTAAGTTGTCATTTTTTAAAAAAAAATTTAATTCTTTCCTGTTTTGATTATGTGACGTTCAAAGTGGTGATTGAGCATGTTCAGTCAGATGCCAAATCATTTAAATAGTTGTCATCTCATTTATAAATTTTAATAAAACATTAATATTTAAAAAAATAAAAATTGCCCTAATTTAAAAAATAAACAATCTGTATAATGAAGAACTCTAATTTTATGTGTATATCCCTTTATTCATCTCTAGATTCTGCTACTACTCCTTGTCCTCCACGTATTATACTTCATCTTCTCCACATCTTCTACATCGTCTTGCCCATGTCTGGTTTTTCCCAAGCAAGCAGTCGCACAAAATCCCATTCGAACTTTAAATCGAACCATGGCGAATGTCTGTGCGGGCTAGAAGCACCAATGCACCATTGATGACATCATGGACTGATTCTAACCCAGGACGATGCTTTTATGGTTGTGGGATGTATAAGGTATTATTTGTCTATGATTTATCACTTCTTCTTTCTCCAATCATTAAAATGTCTTACGTTTTTTCCCCTCATATGTTGCTTGCAGCTTGTGGGACAAAAGAGGTGTTACCATTTTGTTTGGTATGACGAAGAGATGACCCCAAGAGCAAAAGAAATGATTACATCTTTGAAGGAAAAATTATACTCATATCAGAATAAGATTAATGAATGCAGGGTCAAAGAGGATGTGTTGAAGATGAAGATCAAGTTCCTTAATATACAACTGAAGTTTACATGTGTTATAAGCTTTGTAATGTTATTAGGTTTAGTTGTATCATGTGTAATGAAGTAGGTTGTGCATAAAAAATGATGTTGTATGTTTATGGTTTAGTTGTAACAAGTGTAATGAATTTGAAGTAAGAATGTAACCCATGAGTTGATGAATTAGAATGATGATTTTTGGTTTAATATGTTTATAGTTTATATGAATTTAAATCATGAATTGATGAATCATAATGAAAATGATTTTTGGTTTATTTTATGGTTTATATGGTATAATGGTTATATGGTGTTTATAGCATATGTTGCTTATAACAACTTATTATAGCAGATTATTTCATAGAGATATCATTAAAGTCATTACATAGACAATAACTTGTTCCAAAACGTCATTACATAGAAAATAACTTGAAATTACATAGACAATAACTTGAAATTGAGCATTACTTCATAGAGACATCATTAAAGTCATTACATAGACAATAACTTGTTCCAATACTTGAAATTACAAACCACAAACCACAAACCACAATAACTTATCATTACATGTACAATAACTTGTTCCAATACTGAATAATTAAGTGATTACAAAATGACACAAACCACAAAATGTCATGAAACCTAACTATTACAAACTGATATGAAGCACATAGAACCTAATCTGAACTAATCTTGAGAAGGTTGAGGTGCTTGTGACGAGTTTCCAATTTCTGTTACAGCTGTCTTTATCTTCTTTCCATCATTTGTTTCAAGTTTCTGTCTCTTTCCATCCTTTGATGTATTGCCCTTCTTCTTGTTACCACCTTTGAGAATGACTCTCTCAGTAGCCATTTTTCCTTTGCAGCTCCTTTTGTTGTGTCTCATGGTACCACATTTATGACAGCTCACAGTTGTAAGCTTCCTAGGAAGTACATGTGGAATTCTTGGTTCATCATTCACTTTATTCCTCAACTTCTTGGGTCGATCAATGGCCCTTCTGAGCACTGGTGGTTTGATTGGTACCTGACCCTCCAACAAAGGCCAAAGTTGGGGCCCATTTGTAGGGTAGATTATATGTGAATAACTGTTATTGAAAAAAGACTTCCTGCATAACCAATAATAAACATATTTAGTCATACTAAGCAAACATAATAAACATATTTATATGGTGAATGCACAAACCTGTAATACTCAGAGACATAATCTTCAGGTTTTTTCTTGTTTTGCCATTTACATGATATGACATGACTACATGGAATACCAGTCAAATCCCATTTTCTGCAAGCACATGTCTGCTTTTTCAGATCTATAGAGTATGTTTCTATGCCATTGGTGACACCAAAGATGGACAAATCATCACCACCATGCCATGTGGGTGTCCAACATTCTGCATGTTTTTTATTCTTTTCAAGAAGCAATTGAATTTTATGGCAAATATCACCAGTGTAGGTATTCATAAGCTCTTTTTGACTAGTAATCCTCTTTGTCAAGTAATGTTTAATGCCCTCCAACAAAGTGATTATGGGTTTATCCCTACACTCTAGAATTTCCCTATTGAATGACTCACACATATTATTAACTTGTAGATCACACTTAGAGTATGTTTTGAAATGTGACCTGGTCCATAAGTGAGCAGAGATGTCCAACAATTCCTTCCAAGCTGCTTCTTTCAAAGATTTTAATCATTACATTGCCCTCTCTCATACTGGAATGGTTTAGCTCTTGCAGCACTCCACATTGCCTCTTTCAATTCAAGTCCTGGATGTTTCTTTTTCCAATTGCCATAGAGATGCTTCACATATAGTCTTTGCTCCACATGTTCACTTACACTTTGAACAGCTGGTACTAAACCCTACAATATTATGACATTACTCAATTATTAAATGAATATCAAAATGAATATGTAAGGGATACCTTTTGCTCATCTGAAATGAAGGCATAAGCTCTGTGCTTGATTTCACATAAGTCTTCAAGTAGAAGGTATATGAACCACTCCCAAGATGGTCTTGTCTCTGCTTTCACAATAGCATATGCAATAGGAAAAATCTGATTGTTTCCATCCCTGCCTATGGCTGCCATCAATTGCCCACCAAAGTCACCCTTCAAAAATCAAGCATCTAACCCTATAAGTGGCCTACAATATTTGGAAAATCCATACTTGCAGGCTTCCAAACAAATATATATCCTTTCAAACATAGGTCCTTCCTTAGAGTCAGAACACTGCACCAAAACTGTACTATTGGGGTTTGATTTAAGCAGTTCTTCAGCATAACTTCTCAAATGTGAAAATTGATTAATTCTAGCTCCTTAAATCATATTCATTGCCCTCCTTTTGGCTCTATATGCTTGATCATGGGATAATTTCCCTCCATATTCTCATCTTCCTTTCCATTCACATTATTATCTTCCTTTCATATTCCAGCCTCCACATTCTCATCTTCCTTTCCATTCACATTCTCGTGTTCATTTCCTTCCACATCCTCATCTTCCTTAGAGTCAGCATCTTCATCTCCCTCCATATTCTCATCTTTCTTAGCCTCTACATTCTCATGTTCCTTTCTCTCCACATTATCATGTTTCTTTCTCTCCATATTCTCATCTTCCTTTCCCTCTACATTCTCATCTTCATTTCCCTCCATATCTTCATTTCCCTCTGCATTCTCATCTTCATTTCCCTCCACATTCTCATATTCCTTTCCATTCACATCTTCATTTTGCTTTCCATCCACATCTTCCTTTCCTAGCTCAGCCTCATCTATAATATCTGGAGTACAAACTAAGTGCTTTACATACACATCTACAACATCACAATCCTTAACAACGTCAACAAATTTCAACATATCTTGATCAAAATTTAGGGGTCTAAGGCCATGCGAAAAACTATACTTGGGGTTCCAATACCATAAACACTTAATATTGGTACATCCCTCATTGTGAATCAACTATCTCGATTGCATATACGACACATAATCCATATCTCACTCCCAGTTCATTTCAGAAATTACCCTGTTAACATACCACTTCAATGGTTCAGACACTAACTTTCCCCTAAGATGAAATTGTATCCTAATGCCTTGCTTTTAACTTGGTCTGTAATAGAAATAAGGGTTCATAATAAACATCAATATTGGGGACCACAGTCATAATAAACCCTAATTCAGTTTAAACAACATTATTTGGTCCAACATTCAGAATAAACAACATTTTTTGGGACCCAAATTCAGAATAAAGAAAACGAATAAGGGACCACATTATAAATAAAGAAACGAAGATGGGACCGTAAACCCTAATTCCAGTATAAAAAATTCACTTACCTCATACAGTATTTCACTTCTTCCTTGCTTTTCGTTCTTCCTTGCTCTTTACATTCTATGGTGTCTTCGCAATTCATTAACAGATTGTTGATGAGGTTATGGATCGTTCGTAGATTGTTGATGAGGTTATGGAAGTAGTTAAAGAAACTAGGGGAATCGTGAAGAAATTAGGGCTTCTTCATACATAAACACGGTTCAAATTCTTTTATAAGTTTTTCACAATGAAAATACAAATTTTATGCCATGTCATTAAGTTGGCAACTATTTAAATGACTTGACATCTGACTGAGCATGCCCAATCACTATTTTGAGCGCCACATAATCAAAATAGGAGGGGTACTAAAAAAATCCCAAAAAGTGACAACTTGAGGGACTAAAAGGCTGAAAAAATTAAAAGGGGGACTAGAATGTTAAAATTTTATAAATAGGAGGAAATAGATCCAGTCATCCTTGACCATCCCCTCCAGTAGCGGCGAAGCTGCCCATCTGATGTGCCCAATTCCATATAGAGAACTCGAGTTTGTCTTCCTCGGCAGCGACCCCAAACGAGGAGTGAAGATCGAGACCAGTCTCCCTGAGCTAGTGAGAAAACAACTGATAGCATGCCTCCAAGAGAATGCAGACCTGTTCACGTAGAGTGCCACAGAGATGCCCGGGCTAGACCCTGACGTGATCTGTCACCGCCTCACTATCGAACCCACCGTTAATGCGGTGGCTCAACATAGACGAAGGCAATCTCCGGAGAAGACGGAGACCGCCGAACAGGCTGTAAAATGCCTTCTAGAGGCAAACTATATCTCGGAGGCCAAGTACACCACTTGGCTATCCAATGTTGTACTCGTTAAAAAGAATAATGGAAAATGGCGCATGTGTATTGACTATACTGATCTTAATAGGGTTTGCCCTAAAGATGCATATCCCCTCCCCAATAGATAAACTAGTTGATAACTCTGCCGGTTTTAAATTGTTATCTTTCATGGACACCTATTCGGGCTACAACAAGATACCCATGGCAAAAAGTGACAAGAGGTACACAACCTTCATGACCGATTCGAGCAACTATTACTACAGCGTTATACCCTTCAGTCTGAAAAATGTCGAGGAGGAATCGGGGACATGCTCGAAGTCTATATGGAAGACATGATCGTGAAGTCCCACGAGGAACCCGATCACACGACCTAATTGAGGAAGGTTTTCGAGCAAGCTAGGAAGTACAAGATGCGCTTTAATCTGGAGAAGTGTATGTTCGAGGTGCGAGCGGGCAAGTTCCTTGGGTTCTATCTAACTGATCAGTGGTTTTTATGCGTTATTTTACCGATTGTTTGAGTTAATCTTCTTATATGTTTAGTTTCATTTTATTTGCTTTTATCGCATTTTATGCGTTGGTTTTGTATTTCCATTGTTTTTAGGTTCATGTAAGGAATCAGGAAGAATCAGAGTGAAAAAATGGACAATACAGTATGTTCGGAAGTGAAATTGGCAAGCTACAGAAGGCCTGACACGGCCATCCCTATTGCCTGACACGAGCCGTGTTAGGAGGATATGTGTAACTAAGAAAAAATGCAAGAAAGAGATTCCAGGGGGCTGACACGGCCGTGTCAGCATGCCTGGAACAGAAAGGGAGATTCCAGGGGACTGACATCGTCTCCTGTGTCAGCATGCCTGGAACAGAAAAGGTTGATTCCAGATAGACAGGGAGCCAACACGGTCGCCCGTGTCAGCTGACATGGCCCGTGTTGGTTTATGCGCTTCATCTTTCAATTTTCTGATTTTTTGGGCCTTTGTGATCCCTATGGGTATTTTGGGTATTTTCCTATTACTGTGTTGGACTTGGGAGTATTTAAGACCGATTTTGAGAAGAAAAACAGGACTTTTTGGCCAGAGAAGAATTGCACTATCAGTATTAGAGAGATCAAGGTGATTGGGGAACTGAAGGTTTTTATGAGCGGAAGCCATTGAAGATCCAAGAACCCTTTTATCTTGTAATGTCTAGTTTTTATTTTGTATTTTCTTTGAATATTATGAGTAGCTAAACCACCCAATGTTAGGGGGTGTCCTTGATTTGAATCTGTAATGACTCTGATATTATTATTGCATTAACACTTCCTTTGTTTAATAACTGATTTTATCTCTAGCTTTTCTTAATGCTTGCCATGTCGGACCAACAAGGTTTGATTTACAATTAATGATTAGGCTAGACCACCGTTGTTAAGGCTTTGCTTTTGATCATCCTATAGTAGATATCACCTAGGACTAGGGACACCCTATAGAAACCGGAATAATTCTTGATAATTGATTGCTTAATCTCACTTATAATTCTCTATGGACGTAGGAATTAGGATAGACCATTAAAGGTTTTCTCACTAAGGACTTAGGAGTAAACATTCTAAAGAATCTGTAATTAAGTAGTTAAATAAGTCATTGCATGTTAATTTAGAGTTATTACTGAGTCGGATCATACGACCCTAGCAGGTTACTCATATTTGTTTAAACCAATTAGTCAACTTTCTCTTTTCCTTGAAAATATTTTTATAATTAAACAAAAACCTTTTTAAAACCCTAGAGCTTTTGTTTAACTAAAATAAAACCAGAATTTTGTATCATCAAGCAGCCCTTGAGATCGACATTCGGGAAAATTCCCTTTTATTACTACATTGGCAAAATAGTACACTTGTTATTTTTCCGATCAAGTTTTTGGCGATGTTGTCGGGGACTGCTAAAGATCATAGATTTTATAGTTTTATTTTAGTTAAAATTTTGTTGCTCCGACTAAAATTTATTCTTATTTTTATTTTTAAAAAAATCAAATTATTGTTGCTTCATGAATTCTTCTATACTGTGACTAATAAAGTTTCTAAGTTGTGTAGTTATGAATATCTTTTATACATTGCCACCTGTATCTCCTGCATGTTGGTCGCCTAATTCGGGAATCACTTTGGAAGAGGCGACCAAAATTTTTAAAGCATATCAGAGGGAGGTAAGAATCCTTATGAATGAATGTAAGGAAGCTAACTTTTATCTAGATAAATTTATTTGGCAAGAGTTTAGGTTGGAAGAAGAATGTGTGAAGGAAAAAGAACAAAGCAAGACATTAGACGAAGAAGATGAATTAGAAATAGAAGAGTCTGAGGTAAACAAGAAATATGGGGAAGAAAAAAGAAGGCAACTTGAAGATGATCTATTGTTGGATGAAAATACAGATGTAAAAAATTGTATAGATATAGACATCCAACAAGAAAATTTTCAAGAAAATAATATCCCTAACAATTATTTTAACAAGGCAGATGAAAGACAAGAAACTGACAAAGTATTGGATTTCATTTATGCCTTGTTCACAAAAATCCGACTAAAACTGATGTGGAAACAACATCATCAATACCTCAAGTTCATGGGATTGCTACCAAATAAAAGAAATAAAAAAGATATGTGTTCTTTGTTTCATATATGCCACCTTAACAGAGCGTGATACGTCAAGCCATGCGACGTTAAACGAAGCGCTGCGTGGGAGGAAACCCACGTTTTTAATAATTTTGCATTTTATTTTTGTTGTTATTTTGCTTTGATTGTAGGTAATAAACGAGACCTTACAAGGGCAAGCTAGAGTGTTGCATGACCCTCCAACTCCTCAGTAAGGATCTCTATGAGTACATCTTTCTCATTTTTGTTCTAAAATATTGAGGACAATGTTTAGTTCAAGTTTGGGGGAGTTTTTACTATTTTGAGTTTTCATTTTAAGTACCTTTTAATTGTGTTTGGTTTCTTTTG